CTCCTAACCCTAACCTAACCCTAACCCTAACTCCTAACCCTAACCCTAACCCTAACCCTAACCCTAACCCTAACCCTAACCCTAACCCTAACCCTAACCCTAATAAATATCAATTTTGATTATTATATCATTAAATTTATAATAATTTATATATAATCTTTTAGTATTATCTTTCTGAAATATATATAATATAAAATTGGTTATTTATAAAGTTGATTTTCTAATTCAATTCTTTTTTAATATATTATCGATGTATTCTTTAAGCATTCTTAATTTCAATTTTGATATCTAATAAACTGATTTAAATAAAGATGTTTTGTTTTCTTTTAATATTATTTTATAATTTTATAATTTGTATTTTGATAAAGTCTTATAATTTTTTCTTTTTTCAAATAACTTTTTATATTTTTGATATTATATCGATATTAATATTCCTTTTTGTTTTTATATAAGAATGATATTAAATAATTCCTTTTATTTATTTTTTATTTATATAAAAAATTCATTTTCCTTTATTATTAATAAAAGATTCTAAATTGAATATTTTATATTGATAATATTATTTATCTTCAATTCCTTATTATATATATTTAGCTTTATAAACTCTAATATATTATAATGATTATTTTTATTTAGAAAATTTATAATTTCAATAATTTAATCAATTTTAGAATTATATATCTTTAATTATAATATTTCTAAAATGATCTATTGATTTTTTAATAAAACAATATCGAATTAAATAACCTTTTTATATTAAATTATATTTATTTATATTAAACAAATTTTTTACAAAATCTTATTATCTAATTCTATTAATTATTTATCAATTAATTAAAATTAATATAAGATCTATTTTGTTTAGAATTATATCTTCAAATACTTTATAATTTCTAATACAATAAAATTCCCTATAATTTCTAAATCAATTATAATTTGGATTTTTTATTTATTTATCTTAATATTATAATAAATCTGTTTTATCTAATTTATAATATTTAATTATCCCTGATTTATACTCTTGTTTTGATCAATTTAATTAATTTGATCAATTTGATTGATTTCATATAATTAATCATTTTGATAATTATATAACGAAATATTTTTTCTTCTTCTTTTACAAAAAAACTATTTTATAATTTCTTTATTTAACAAATAAATTTTATAAAAATCATTATAACAAATTATTTAGTTTATTATTATATATTCTATTAATAATATTTTTTTAGATTTTCCTTAATCAAAAAAGATAATAGAATTCAAACATATTTCAATTTATAATAATCTATTTCATTTAAATCTTTTTAATCTTGAAATATTATATTGATTTCTTTTTAGTATTGTTCTTATTTATAATTATTATTTTCAATTATATTAAAAATATATAATTGAAATATAAAAATAATATTAAATTGATTTTTTCTGAATCTAATCTTTTTATAATATTCTCTTTAATCTTACAATTTCTTATTTTAATAATCCTTAAATTAATAATTTAATTTGTTATATTCAAAATATAATTTATTCTTTCGTTTTCGATTTATCTTTTCTTTGAATAATTTATTTCTGAAAATTGTATTTAATTATATTAAATCCTTATACAATTGTTAATAATCTTGAAATCTTTTTTTGTTTTTATAATACTTATTATAATCTCGATTTTTATAAAAATTGAAGAATCAATATTTTTTTTAATATTTATAGAATATTTTATTTATTTTGATTAATTCCTTAATTGATTTGTTCAAATTTTTTCAAATACAATTACAATTCAATTTTAATTTAATCTTTACTTTAAATTCTTTTCTATAATAATTTATTATAATATTCTCTTTTTATTTTATAATATTTATATATTTGAATTCTATTATATATTTCATTATTGATTTTATTTGTTTGAAATTATAAATCTTAAATTCAATATTATATAATTCGTTAATATTTCCAAATATTTATTATATTTCCTTTTGGAATTCAATAAATATCTCAAAAATAATTTATATTGAATATATTTATTTTTTAAAATCATTTAAATAAATAAAATAATCTTTAAAATAAAATTAAATCTATTTAAAAACTTCTTTTTTGAAATAAAAAACAATCTAAATATTTTTATCAATATTATAATAGAATTTATCTTTATTGAATTTGAAATAGATCTCAAATTGAAATAAAAAGATTTCTAATTTTTATTGATAATCTATAAATTTATCGAGTAAAATGATTTTAAAAGTTTCAATAATGATAATCTTTTTGAGATTTTTGTTTCTTTTATAATGATATCTTCATTTTAATTTATATCTTTTAAAATAATTGAAATTGAATTGTTAGATTAAAAAATCTAAAAAGATATAATATTATTCTATCAAGTTAGTATTTAAAATAATAATAATATTCAAAGTATTACAAAAAATACAATCTAGATTATATAAAAGTAATTTAAATTCTCAAAAGATTTATAATTAAATATCAAATAAAAACTTTAAATAATATCAATAATTATAATTTATAATTAATAATAAAATATATTAAATAATTAATTTTAAATACAAAATTTCTATATATAAAAAACCCTTTTGATTTATATAAATCTTTATATCAATTAAATTATTTGAATCTAATAAATTTAAGATTTGATTTTTTAAATCCTTTAAATCTTATAATCCATCATATAATTATAATCAGATTATATATTCGAATTTGTTAAAAAAAAGATTATATAAAGCAATTATTATATAAATTTGTATACAAATCGCCTTGCTTTTCGATAAGGCCTAAGCTTATGTGGACAGGTTGACTGTTACCCTGTAACAATAAAATGTGTACAAGATGTAGAATCGTGTAAGATATAAAGATGTCGGTTACTTATTGTTGAAAATGAAATGAAATGATGGGAAATTGGATCCTATGATAAACACAAGCCACATACAATTCTACCTTTGTCGCCCTCGTAAATTCTGATGAACCTTCTAATTCTTCCTCTTCCACACAAACATCCCTTCATCCTTTCCTGCGAAACTTGGCATGGAAATTCTACAAATAAGCTCCCAACCATTCATTTCCTTCTCAAACCATTCTTCCATACTGCAATCACTTAAACCCGTGTATCGATTTGCGTTTTGTGTTCCAACCACCACAATTACATCCCCTTTGTAGGTGCTCAAGACCCTTTTCGTGAATGTCCCGGCCGTAATCATGTACACCATTAATAGCAGTTTGTTCTTACCCCCACCATTTTTCCTTAGGTATTCCACTCCATCTGCCTTCTCGGTATCTGATATCCACATATTTCTATACTCACTAGCCATATTATCCACAGCGTTAACCTTTACCTTCATTCGTCGTAGCATATATGTCCAATATCCGTTCCCACTCGCCATATCGATAATTCCATCCAATTTGGACTCTTCCACAAGTTGGGATATTGTATAAAGTGAATCGTAAGATGGTACCACACACCCGAAATGATGGTAAAGTACAGGAAGTACAGGATGAGTCATTTTCGCTGCGGCAGGATCCGCATAATGTGCATCAGGTAGTGGTCCAAGGAAAGACACCATTCGACAGGTATGGGCCCAAATATCATAGTATGGATTGATGTGTGCTTTCGCTTTCGGTATTTTACACGAAGGAGGAATACGGCGGGATTGGAGGTAGTTCGCAACCCATTCTCGAGGTGATCCCTTCTTTGCGTTGGAAGAAAATGCTATGAGAGCTTTGGATGTATCGGTCTTGGAGGAGAATATCGACGTATAGGCATCAATGTCTGCGAGTGGTATCTTTGAAGTCAGTCAGTATCAATCTGCAAATGGCCAAAGGAGGAAGGCCCACCTGCAGAACTTTGCCTTGATCTTGGTAATGATACTTTAATTTGCCAGTACTGAGAGTTTCTTGAATCTGTGGTAATGTCATAGCGAATGATTCGGCGCGGTAAACATATTTATCATCCTGGGACAATCCAAATGTATCGAGGACTGTTTTGGAGAAATCATCATCTATTATTCCACTCCAATTATTGAAAATTTCATCGGAAGAAGGAGAAGACATGGTGTTGAATATGAGGGGTGATTAAGTTGGTGATCAACAGTTGAAGTTCATGTTGGTGTGAGTGATGTCGCGAATGACGTCGCGACGATGTAGAGAAAGCCCCATCATGACAAATCACCTTTTGAATGGAAGCCTCTCTCCTTCCCTTCGTTGTGTACCATACTACGATAAAATATTAAAACGAAATGAATGAATGGGCGACGATGAGGTAAGCTTAAAATAGTTTGTCCAGTTGGTTTTCACGGATAGGAAAATACAAATCTTCAAGGCAATGCAATTCAGCTACTCGACCCCGCATCGGCAACCCCTCGTGGATGTTTCGAATATTATTTTACTGGGTAACCTTAGGGCGACTCAAGAAGTCAATCAAAGCATTACAGCATTCATTAACCACAACGGGATTCAAATTCATCCTGGAGTATTCAAAGGGATCTTCGGCTTCCAGTTAGCCAGTCACATTCTGCATTTGGGTGAGTTTCATATGACAGCTAGGTATTTGGCGAGGAAACGAGAGATGAAAGAGGGATATAGGTAGGTAGTAGGTAGGTAGTAGGTAAATAGTAAGTAGATAGTAGGTAGTAGATAGATAGTAGGTAAATAGTAGATAAATAATAGATAAATAGTAGGTAAATAATAGATAAATAGTAAATAGATTGTAAATAAATAATAGATAAATAGTAGGTAAATAATAGATAAATAGTAAATAAATTGTAAATAAATAATAAATAAATAATAAATAAATAGTACATAAATAGTAAGTAGATAGTAGATAGATAATAGAAAGTAATAATATGTAAGTCTTACAAAGGTCGAAGATGGTAAATCTTAGATAATTAGACAGTAAATAGGAAGAAAATGATTGAAAATACAGAGTAAGTACTTGGTAATCATAGCCTTATACCTAGTAATGTTAGAGTTTACCCCGCCATTTCAGCCTCCATTCATGAGTATCGATCGGGTAAACCTGCAGGATTTTTGTAAGTAAAATGAAATCTTCATCATTCAACTCTAGTGAGGATCACGTGGAAATCTTACCGGCATTTTCCTATAATTACGATTCAGCATGAAGACATTCGAAGTGACAATTCTTAGCATGGGATTGATTTGAGTCAGGACGGATAAAGCGTGACAGCAAATCCATTTCTCTCAAAAGAAGAAATCATAATGGATAGAGCCTAGCTAGGTAAGAAGTATATCTCGTGGTATTTGTCTCCCACCAAAGTTTTACATCTATCCCATTTCTGTTTGGTGGTAGGGGAATCTCCTTCCTGTATAGACATTTTAAAGTGTCCACAACGTACGCTGAGATCATTTTTCCAAGGAACCTCATGTTATCTCTACTACACAATCATTAGATTAATAGATCCATCCAATTCATCAATTGAGTGGAAGAGAAAGAAAAAACAAGCTTTCACTAATCTTCATACTGCATACCATGTGGCGTGATTTTGGCAACAAGTCACCCCACGTTAAGCCGCTAGGACTCATCTTTGAAGGCTAACCTTTTTCCGAATCTCTTAAATCTCTAATGTCTTGTGATCTTGGTCTATTATGGTCTACACACTCCCTCTCTCTACATTTCTATTTGAAGGAGAGTAATAATATTTCTACTCCGCACTCGTACACTCTCTCTTTCTTTCTAAGAAACTTAGAAGTATTGCTTGAACTTCCATCGTCCAATCAAATCTTAACAGGAAAAGGAAAAGGAAAAGGAAGGAAAAGGAAAAGGAAAAGGAATCGGAAAAATGACAATCCCACTCTCCGTTATACCGTTCAGTCTGTTCCAGCAAATCTGCTTCAATTCAATGCATCCTCTTCCCCGCCATCTACTTCCACCAACGAGAGTCAGGAACCAAAAGAGAATGTGCTTTGGATAGGATGTTCCGATTCTTCAGTCACAGAAACCGATGTTCTCAACAATGTTAGCAGATCCGAGATTTTCGTCCATCGCAACTTGGGAAATCGTGTTAGTGTCGGGGATACAAGCAGCGGAAGTGCAATTGAGTGGGCCGTGGATGTCCTGAAAGTATGTTAAAGCTCACCAGGCCTCATTTTGTGAATGCTGAATTCATTGGTATTAGGTACAACATATCATTATTTGCGGCCATTACGATTGTCATCTTCTTGATGAGTCCGAAAGTGATAGTAACAATTGGTATCGGTAAATCTCCCCAACACTACCAATCTATTTCCATCACTTTCAAGATTCCGTGTCACCCTTTTCTCTCAGTCTCTACATCCTCGCTTTCCATTCATTGACTGCCCCTGACATTGCGAGTATCACTAACATGCACAGCGATATTATTCAACTCCATCAAGAATCCGACGCCCTAGAACCACCTGCTCAATCACCTCAATCAAGGAATCGCCACTTCACAGAACTTTACGTTTTGTCCGAAGTGGAATGGTTGAAACAGCAACCTAGTGTTCAACAAGCTATGAAGGAATGGGACTGTAAAGTTCATGCTTTTGTGTATGACCGGGATCAAAATAGTTGCGTGAGATTAGTACCAGAGAGTCAACAGAAATGATTGCTTCGAATGGGAAGTGCAAAATTTTATAGACCTCGTAATTCCATTCCAAGGGAAAAATTATAATTAATTATAAACCATCACTCATAGCAAGCAACGCATTAAACAAAAATAACACTAACATTAAAACCAACACTAATCATTCGATATGTTGATCTCCCCCAGCACATCAATCAATAACCGATACTCTTCTCGCTGTCAAAAATCATAACTTGACTTAAACTTTTTGCATTATTTCCCCCCTAGTATTACAGTAAAACATCTATAGGACATGATCATGAAGGTGAAGGGAACAGTCTTAGATGATATTTTCGTGGCATTGAACGGAACTAGCATGTAGTAACGTCGTACTTTTATAAAGAACATCATTTCCCCCGTAATCATGACCATAACGAAGCCTAGAATTACCGGGGGGTTCCAAAAAGTTGAATAACTGATTAATGTAGGTAAGACTTACTGAGAAAGACACATGCAACAAGAGCATGAGCATGAGCATGGTATCGATTCTTGTCGACAACATTATTGAGGGACAGTACAGTACTAGCGCACTGCTACTAGCCGAATGGCCTTTTCACACCAAACCCCAACCATTTTACAAAATTAAAACAATTTTAATTATTATAAAAGTATAATTGAAATTGAAAAATTAGATTATTTCGAATTGAATATATAATAAAAAATTAGTTGATTATTTTTTGTAATTTTTAAAATAATTTAATTAGGTTTGAAAATGACCATATAAAATTTTGATTCAATTTTTGCAGTAAAATGAGGAAAATTTCAAAATCTAAAATTTAAAGTTATACAACTTTATCAATTAATAATTAAAATTTATAAAAATCAAAAATATAGAATCTTTAAATGAATCTTTTTAAAAATATGAAAGGATTTCTTTAAAAAAAATATTGAGTTCTTTTAATATTAATAAGTGAAAAGAGTGAGTTTTGGTGTAAAAAGAGCCTATGGCTAGTAGCAGTGCACGGTCACTGTATATCAAGCTCTTTCTGATCACCACCGCCGGTTGCATTGATAGGAACAAGATAGGAAAGGTTGTACAGCATCCCACGAGACATATCTTGAATAACAAACTAAAGAATCGAAGGAAAAAGTACCATCGATAGATTGATGTTCTAAAACGTATTTATCGTCTTCCTGTTTGAGGGTCGAAACTAGTGTTTTTAGGTGGTAGCTCTGTTCTTTCATTCCACGAAGTGTTTGAAGAAAAGTTCGAGGTTGATATACACGGGGATATATTGTGCGTATGGCGAGAAATGAAAATAGATACTGCAGCAATAGTGGCGACAGATGTTAAAGTATAAACCAACCTGTGTGCGGAACTTGATGTTGTCGCAGATCTTCCACATCCAGCAGTGAGGGGAGAATGTAAGATTTTTGGGTTAGCAATTGCATGTTTGGAGGAGCAATAACGGCACTGAATATTTTATAAGGAATTGCAAAAGCAAGTGAAAAGGCAAGAAGTTCTTTGGGAAATATCAATGTCTTGTATCAATGATCTCTTATGAAAATTTGTATTTTTGATATTGATGAATCAATGTTGGTAAATTTACAATATTTTTAACAACATCAAACGAAAAGAACAGTGTTAGTAGGCCTGGGCTTTACAAAATTTACTTACACTTCGAGCTTGAACAGAAGGAACGATCTCTGAGCCTGAATATCTTTTGTACTTGGCAAATACGACATATGTTCCAGGATTTATTAGTATAACTAGTAGGCAATTTTGGCACCAGAGAATTTGACTGTTGTACCTGCATTGCTGTGCCTACCTATCATAAAGAGACTCGACACAGAGTACTAGGTAGGATTTTATCAACCAGGTGTGAGCTGCATTACACTTTGGAATTTTTGGTATTACATATTCATGCTACCATGACTATAACCATGACTTGTATACAACGTGATCAGACCATAATCAATATGCTACAACGATTTATATATTCAGCTAGGCGGGATTCCATGTGGTAACTCTAAACACTTGGAGGCTGTTACCAGCAGTTACCAGCACCGGTATAACTAGGTTTAAGCTGCCATACAATTGGACTTGGCAAACAATTCAAGGTTTTGATTGCAAATGATAAGTAAAAACAATATTATGAGTCCTAGGAAGGTAAGAAGTGACTAGTATAAGCGAGTACCTAACCCAAAAGTAGACATCCAACGAGATATCAAAGCTAGAAAACACTTAGACCTAAGTTGCAACTTCGGTAGTCTCCAGCAATGAAGTAACTTTCAGTATGCAGAAACAAAGCGAATATCTAAAACCCTGTTAGTAAATTATTCAAAGGTCGATATATCCTATGGAGCTCAATGCGCGATGCATTTAAGATTTCGAGAAAAATGTGAGAAGAAAAAAACTTCAGGTACTACCTACCACCTGCCTTCTGTTGTTGTAATACGCAAATGGAATAGAAAACCAGATAACATAATTCAATGGGTGCCAAACTAAGCCAAGAATGATATGATATTGCCTGCCATGAGATGGAAGGAGTGCTAAAAATGGACTACCCGTAGCTTCCACAACATCAAATTTACCCAAACATGAATGGTGAGGTCTGTACAAAAGGTACCACGTGGTCGAGAACCATGAGGATCTGTAAAGAGTTCCTTGAACTTAGATTCAGATCAACAGAACAGGAAACCAGCCTTACCCTATGAATGGTACCGCATATAATACATTGAGATGTGCAAATTCGTTTCCTTTTTATGCCGATACCACCTCTTCATCCCATACATAACCGATATCAAGGAGGGGGGCTCAAATCCAAACCTTCCACCGTAAGTTTGAAAGCATCATTCCTGAATTCTTAGCAAGAGTAATAGCAGAGATCAAAGTAGGGTCCAACATACCTCGAATAACTACCACCTACATCCAAATCCAATCTGCCTCTCAAACAATCGTCAAAATCGATGTCAACAGATAAGAAACCATTCTCATCATCCCAGACTGGACCAGCAAGAATGTCACCAAGAGGAGAAATGATACATGAGCCACCTCTGCATATGAAATCAGATGCATCTTTTTGGGTAGTTTCGATGGTTTCCGGTATTCCTGCTATGCTTTGAGGAAGTGCAATTTCGCATCCATCATCGGTAAGGATTGACTTTCTCCTCGACCTTGATTGAGCATGCCCATACTCATCTGCATGGCCATCTTCGATAGCGCTGTCTTCTTTATCATTCCCTGTTATCCAGCTCGGAAGATTTGACCTCTTCATGCATTGATTCGCGCTCAGTACCACGCATCTACCCTCACATGCAACAGTCCGCATCAATGGTAGCCACGTATCCCGCGCATCTGCCGTGGGAGCCAGATACAAGTTGACGTTCTGACTATAAATAGATTGTCGTAACAAAGGCATGTAATTTTCCCAGCATATTGCGGATGCAAGTGTAAGTTTCACACCTCGAATTGTAGTCGTAACCGCTCGTAATGATGAAGGTTGTCCTTGGCCCCATATGAGCCTCTCGCTGCCGGTCTATGTTACCACATATAATTAGCATTCACCAGCAATGTTTCAAACCTTCAAATCATGAAAGAGTAAGGGATATTGGAAATACCGGCATAACCTTTCTCCTTTTCCCAATCATTCCTAATTTTGGACAAACATATACGACACCACAATACAAACTCCCACCACTCCTCTCAACTAATCCTGTCACAATGAATACCCCAGTTTCTCTCGCGATTTTCTCAAGCTCCTCTCTCGTTCCATCTCCACGCTTTCCATCACCTCCAACCTCAAGTTCTTTGTTAACCCATTTCTTTCCTGCCCCTTCCGGCGTATCTCCTAAATCAACGGCATCCTTGTAATAATGTAGGAATTGTTCACGGCCTCTGGGATCTCGAGCTCCGACTGCTGCACCAAATGTAGCTGTGCGAGGGTAACCTCCTAGGTACGCTTCTGGGAATAAAATAAGATCGATCGATTTAGTCGCGGCATGTTGTGTGGTTTTAGAGAGAGCAGCAAGAGTGGCAGATGTTGTGGAGAGTGTATGAGACTGCGAAACAGCTAGACGTAAATTTTGTACCATGATGATTGAATTTGTTGAGTTGTTAAATGGAAAGAGTCTGGGACGGTAAGAGAATCATAAGTCTTACAAGATGAGGTACAAATCGACGGACTTTAGATCTAAAAGACGCCATAAATGACCCTTCTTGAGTAATAATGCGGGGTTTTCGGCTTGTGCCCTGTGCGTAAATGTTACTAGATAATCTTATCTGATCTCTTTGTTTGAACTTTCCTTGAAGAGCCTGGTTAAATATACGATACCAATTTATTGTAAGAGCTACTAGATATAGATAGCGATGTGAATGAAAGAAGTTATGTTTTATCTGTTGTAGCATTTTCCGGAACAATCACTTAGCCTAATCCATAGAAACGTTGCTCCTTCAACCCGCTTGTGTTGTCACTTTGTAGGAATATAGATAACTAATAATTACTCCTTCTGTGTCAAAAATACAATTAGAAAATAATGTAGGTTATTGTCAAGCATATGCTTCTGCACTCCTCGAGGTATTCTCATCATAATCCCACTATTCATTCATCCTCATGATGACCTCTCTATCAAGAACTATATCTGTTTAACCTTATTTTCTATTGCATATCATATATCAAAGCAGGGGAAATCCTTCGTTTCGCTCTCCTCATTGAATCCTACACATTTCCAACAACTTAACAAACCTTCTGGATCATATTTCTTCTTTATTTCAAGCAGCTTCTCGTAATTCTGAACGCCCCACCAAGCTTCTTTCCAATCATTGGTCCATGGATGAGCTTCGTTAAGGTACGCACCTCCTGTCGGTGTGAAATCCTCTACCATTGTGGTCAGATTATTGACCAAACTAACTTGAGTTAATCGTTGCTCCAAAGTTTCATTATAAGTCCATACCCCACTATACGAAAGTTCCCAAATTGAATCCCGCCATGCTGGTGTAGCGGATGTTGAGGCTGGATCCCACTGATATAGCCACGGCGTAGTATTGGGAATGTAGGGCGAGTATCCAAGAGAGATCAAACGTTCTAGAAAATTCATCAACTTTGATCTGCCCTCAGTACTTCTGAATAAAGATGCCGGTATAAGTCGAGTAGCGAGTGGGTGAAGACTTCCAACAACAGCTTCATTGGATGCCACATATCTTGTGTAGAAATCATACCAGGAGGAAAGAACCTCTACAAATACTGTCCCATTGTTTTCCTTCGCAAATTTGGCAGCTGGAGCCATCGATTCAACTGCTTCAGAGAGATTAAGTAGTGGCGTAACACTTATCAGATTCGTAGCTTGGTAATGTCCACCCCAGCCTAGGTTTGCCCAGGGCAAGGAATTATTGACGATGATAGAAAACCATTCCAAAACATTACGTGTTGTGCGGTTATATGAAATCATCGCCACAGCTAGCTGAATTCTTGGCTCAACACGATGGGTGGCTTCCATCACGATTCCAAAAGTTCCACCACCACCACCTCTTAATGCCCAGAAAAGATCCGAATTTTTACATTCATTAGCGACTCTGAAGACACTATCAGTGGTAACGACCTTGTATTGAACAACTCGATCGATTCCAAGCCCATAAACAGGTGAGAGAACGGAGTGTCCACCTCCCTGTACCCAACCGCCTGCTACACCAATTGTTGTTGCATATCCTCCGATAAATGTGACATTTTGTGTCTCTGCAAACTCATAAACATCATTTGTATTTACTCCTGCAGCAGTCGTAATGGCTGTCACTGGAGCAGAATCACATCCTTCGGGTATGAAAGATGCGTCATAACTCATCCCTGATACCTTCTTCATCCAAAGGGCCAAAGATCCCTTCCGACTACTACGACTAAGATAATCATGTCCACTGTTTTTTATGGACAATCTTATTCCAGTCTTCTTGGAAAAATCAAGAGCGGCCACAACATCGGAAACTTGCTCGACCTGAACGTAATACTTTGAAACACTTCCCTGGTTACAACTGACATTTGTGAACGCAGTTGCATCATTTGGAAGCATGTTATTGAGAACGCATTGGTCGGTAACATTAGTAAAACAAACTTCGTCTTGATTGTTCATGAATCCATTATAGAACTGACTTCGATAACTGGAAGACGTGTAATTTTGCTGGATTTCCGCGCATTGTAATAGATTAGGGGTAACTGGTTGACCTTCAAAGATTGAGAAACATGGTTGTGAGAATGGTTGCGAAGTATGTAACCGCCCGTTCAATGTTTGGTTAAGTGATGACCATATATCGTTGCCCATGACTCCACGAATAAGGATAAGGAGGAAGAATTGGTATCGGCACAATGGGGAAAGCATTTTCTCTGGAGAAAACCTCAAGATCCTTTCGCAGTTCTAAACTCCCACTTGCGCAGGTTTTAATGATTGAAGTCACCACAACAATGAAACGCCAATGAAGTGGAAATGTATAATATATATTCTTCCCTCACATCCTTAGTGTTGTCATCATGCGGCTTTGCATGCTCAAAGTAGAAAATCTCCGTTATGTGAGTAAGCACATAACGGGTTTGTTTATGATTGGGGCAAGCCATTGACCAAATTCAGTGTAGCTTTATTCGGACATACAACCCGGAGTATGCATGAAAACATCCTTCCTTACACGCGCGGATTCATGCACAAGCATGAGTATGCCGGTTGATCAGAAAAGAATCTTCAAATTGTCCCGATACATTCCAAAGATTTTTTTATGCAATGACCTCGTGGACCAGATCACGGATAGGGTCTGTTCACTCCCTTTGTCTCGAACCAGAATATATCGTTGTAGAGGAGATCTTCTGGCTATACTTTGATCCGGAGACTTTGAACCTTCTTATAAAAAAATGGTTTGCGAACTAGAGACGGGAAATATAATACACAGTCTATGAGCATTTTCCAGTGGAACTGGCAAAATGAACAAAACAACCCACGAGTGAATGTTTATGGTCGGTCCTCAAATCTTATACCCTTCCAGCTCTTTCTCAGTCCACTCCCACAGTTCATCCGCCATCTTCTCATCTTCCGCGTACTTATTCCCATTGCCAGAAATCCCTACAGGTGTGTAGTATTCCCCTTTCACGACTTCGCCTTTTGCATCGCCCTTGTTTGCCACGGCAGCCCAGAGTTGATTCTTTGCGCCATCAGCCATACTTGTAAAAGCCAAGTTTCTTACTAACCCCGCGAATTTACCGAGAACTCCATATTTCTCAAAGGCGGTCGCATACAAATTTGTGTTGACTACTCCTGGATGAACAGACACAGCTGTGATACCTTTCTCGCCATACCTCTTGTTCAATCCTTTGGCGAAAAGAATGTTCGACAGCTTTGATTGTCCATATCGAGACATTGTCGTATAACTATTCATATCCGTTTTTAGATCGTCGAATTTGATACCTCCAACAGGACCCATTGTATGACCCACACTACTCAGTGAGATAATCCTCACATCGGCGTCCTTTTGCTCTGCCGTCTTCAACAATGTGGGAAGCAGCAATTTTGTCAAAAGAGCATGTCCGACATGATTTGTCCCAAATTGGATTTCATAGCCTTGTTCTGTAATCGCAGCTGGAACCGCCATGATCCCCGCATTCAGAATCAATAAATCAAGACGGGACTCTTTAGTATTGAACTGTTTGGCACTTTCTTGGACTGATGGAAGGGAGGTAAGGTCGCATTGAAGAAATGTGATGGGCGCATTTGGGACTTTGGATTGTATTTCTTTGATTGCCGCGGTGGCTTTAGATTCAGATCGTGCGGCGAGATAAATGTGCGACGGATTATGTTTAGACAACTGGAGGATAGTTTCGAGACCTAAACCGATGTTCCCTGAGAGAACTAGTTAGCATTGAGTCGGGAAGAAAGAGAGTCGAGGGGAAAGAGAGTCGAAGGGAAAGATAGTTAAATAATGTGGGAGACAGGGATCGGTACCGCCTGTGACAAGAATGACTTTGCCAGAAAGATCAGGAATATCCTTTTCAGGCTTGAAGGAGACGGCTCCTAAGCCCAAGACACCATACAACATGTTGATTCGTATGTTATCTATATCAATTGATTATAACAGCAGTGAAGAAAGTGAACAAAGCATTGTCTAGCGAGCTTGACGTCGAGGTAAAATAGCTCAAACAATACGGAGTAGTAATCCAAGCTATCTTGCCGAGGCATATTTATTAAGTTTAATGATTAGAATACCAGGTGGAACAACATGTTTAGAGTTGCACCAGTTGCCCGCTTACCTACCCAATGCAAATGCAGATAAGGTTGGCGTTTTTACGATTATCGTTTCTCAATTCAAATAGTAATTACCATGATGGTCTAAAAAGTCGAGATTATCAAAGGCTACAATCCTATCAATATTTGAACATGGTTTCTCATGCTGAATCGATTCCTGCTCCAGCGCAGCATTTTCCACTCCCGTTCGGACTTCCAAGCTAATCATTTTTTATCTTATTACTAATCGAAACGACAAGCTATGGATAGCGGCAGTATGCTTATTTCAATTCAAGCTTTGCCGTCTCTAACATACTCTTCTCCATCTTCACATGATAGTCCACCATAATGTCGGCGCTGATTTTCACCGCCATACCATACAATACTGTCATAATATGTGCGCTCACTTGCGTAGGAACCACAGAGGCATCAATAACCCTCAATCCGTGAACATCATAGACTTTTCCCTGCGGGTTCACCACCCCACCCAGTTCTCTGGCCATCATCGAGCAACTGCCAACATTATGGTAATTAGGACGGAAGTTCTGCTTGACGTAGGATACCCATTCGTGGAGATTGGCATCTGGTTTTAGTTTAGTGGCCCCTGGAATGGCTTCTTTTTCATAAAACCTGGCCATGCTGCCTGCGTCCGAAAGATCACGCGCTAACTTTGAAGCAGCAGCTTGGCCCAAGATGTCTAACTCATTCCCGAAGTATCGTGGGTTGGTCATTACGTGGCGGAGGTATGGGTCCTTGTGAAGGATGTGCACAAACCCACGAGTGAATGGGATGAGAGTCCAGAGGTCGAAGTTAATGGCACCCTCTGTATCCATGAAGAGCTCGGAATACGCAATGTTGTCTTTGATAAGCCAGTCGCGATAGTTCTCGTACTGAATCATGAGGGCTGTAATATTGTTGAAGCCTCCATTGTCCACGGTCTCTCTAGCCCATCTCTTCAGGTTTTTATTCAGAAGGTTATGGGCTAAAGAAGAGTATTTGCCAAAGGTCTCGTTGAATGTGGCGAAGTAAATGGCTTGACCTTGTCCGTAGCCAAGATGATTTATCTCGGACCGGACGGTAGTGGTTGTTTGGTCTTGTACATTTATGCCGACTGGCAGTTCGAGTACTTGACTAACATTAGCATTTTCCAGCACTTTTTTAATACCAATACCAGAATATTCAAGAATCAATGGTGATGATAGTGCTCCTGCCGCTAGAAGAACTTCATGTCTTGCATAAACTTCAAAATTAAAATGTCGGTTTGTGCCAAATTGAACGCCATGTGCTTGAATTGCCCCAGGCTGGGAATTGAGGAGTACTTTCCCAACTACTTGACCGACCAATACTTTGAGATTAGGGCGAGAGCAAGATGGGAGAAGCATTTCTCGACCGGCATCAGATCTAGTCTGATTCCGGTCGGCATGTACACTGTTGGGAAACATCGAAACGCCGTGTGGGTTGCCACAGCTGAAATCTTTCTTTGTTGGGACACCACTCAAAGCAACAGTATCCATGAGGGCCGTCATCTATAAAATTGTCTATTAGCTCTGTCATTCACCATAATAAGGCACGCGCGTCCATTTAATACATTCCAATCATAATTATTATTTATGATAAGTGGAAGCGTGTCGAGGAGATAATTCAAGAAAGCTTCCATTGGAGATTCTCAAGGAAATAATAAAGCCTTGGGATTTTTACTTACCAATGGTGAATACTGTGTTCGAGTATTGCGAGGGCCAACATGAACAGGGCCATGTTTTCCATGGCACTCCGAAATGAAGTTGTGACCAGCCCGAATCTCTGCATCGTTTGGTGCTCTAACGTCCTCGGCAACCTTCATATACGTCGAAAAATTATTCCAATTCCATCCTGTATTTCCAAAAACTTTCTCCCATGAATCCACTTGGATCTTGTGCGGGCGTGTCCAAGTGGCTCCATTTATAAGAGTTGATCCTCCAAGACCTCTGCCAGATCTGATCGTTTGCTGAGGAATATCCGCTGTTTGATTAAGTGTTTCGAATGCCCAATCGACTGTGCTACCAAAGATTTTTCCGTACTCATTGACATCTTCAATGAGTGAGCCGTGGTCAGATTCATAAAAGCCCGCTTCAATGACTAGAACACTTATATTGGGGTTTTTGGAGAGAATTGCAGCAGCTGTCAAGCCTGTTAAGCCCCCACCAGCAACAATGTAATCGAAAGTGGTGTTCTTGATCTTATAAGGATCGTCGATTATACAGGAAAGATCAGGAGACGGTGATGCGACAATGCCACTGAAAAGGGCGCCGCCTAGGAATGCAAATCTTATAATACTCGTCATTGTCCAAGCCAAGAATGATAATAGAGTAATCAAATTAGTTGGATAATTGGACTGTTGAATATTATTTTATCATGGACAACATTCTGGATAATGTATGCCTCAAGCTTCCTGGTATCTTAGCTACTTTGCAAATTCAACGTGGAACTAGGCTACGAGACATATTGACTTGTCTGTGCGTGGTTGTTAAACACCAGAGTGACAGCTCGTAGACACGAAATCTCCACCTTTGCAGCTGTAAATTTAGACAATAGGTACTTGAAGGGTGTGGAGTACGTTCACAGACTGATTTGTGTAAGATATTTTTCTACTTTCGGACGGCAATCTTCAATCATTTAGAAACATTGGAGTTTTCCTTGAAGAAGGCTTGAAGATCTTGTAAAAATGTGTGTAGTTAATGAGGTACACCATGGGATTTGTGGCACAGAGAGGTACTTCCGGCTGAAGACACAGTATGAGCTAGTAACTTTTGTTCACTGTATGTGAGTGTAATGACAAATGGTGACAAGTTATTTCAGCTCGTGACGTCTCGGTCACGGAGGTATGTAAGATTACTCTGTGATTTCACACCATAGGTGCTAGCTCCGCGAGCTCCAATCGCGAAACGACACACAACTTTCGTGCTGTATAACTTCAATTCTCCAAATACTTTCCGTCTTCTTAGCCTAGCTATCTTAGCGGATAGGCGATCTCTCTAGCATCGTCTATCAGAGCCAAATAGTGAGAAGCATTTGAACTTAAAAGGAGGAGCGAGAAGCAATTTCCGAAACTGGAGATGGGGAAAACCTAGTAGTGATCAATGTATCGACGTTTCTAAACTATCAGCCACACATGATCGTGTGGTCACTTCAGATATGGTGGAGTGCTCGTCTTGGGTATACGTCAAAATAATAGTGCAGTCACACAATGTCCTTGAAGAATTATAACACCTGCTTTTATAATTTCGTCAGGCGAAAATTCAAGGATAGAACGTCAGTGGCATGGATTGGCATATTTATTGGTGTTGAACACTTGAAGGCTCACCGCATACTGTGCTGTAAAATCGGAATTTCTTGGTAACAAGAACTTCTGTAGAAAGTCATTCAATCCTTCATAGATCATCATGGATCTTCACCTTCTTTCAATGTGACCACTTTAGCATATAATCCTTGCCTTTGAACTGTAATTCACCAATCTATCTCTGTTTCATTTGTATTCGTTCCTCGGCCAGGTGTGCACTGCGAACTTACTCGACTTGGACAAGCGGAATCCAAATGCACTTCGCTCCTCCTACAAAGTCATACAAGTAGCCGTGACCTATTTGATCTGACAATCGTGATTTACGCCATTAAATGAAGAAAGGAATCATTTTGGGATTGCAACTGTTACATAAAGTAGCACGATTGGCTACAAGGTGGTAAATAAGGCTGATCCATGTGTCAAGCGAGCCAGTATAACACAGCACAGATGATTGAACATAGCACCAAATTTGACAGAATACTATGCAAGCTATCACAGTAAAAGGACACAAGCTGGCATAGTGCTCCGCTAAATATTGAATCCAAGAGGTTAGACAGAAGATGACAAACTAACTCCTGTTTGTCCCGTGTAGAAGAGGTGACCCAAGGTTGGTCTTAAGCTCTGCTGCAACAGATCTATATATTTTCTGAGCATTTGCAAGTAAAACAGGATTGATTTATCCCGCATTGGCTTCAATTGCACGAATACTTCGTCTTCAAATAAATCCACATACATCATAATATGGTTCTGCAGCTTGATACACAACATCACCGATCTAGAGTCAATCAGCCGAAGTCACACTAGACTCATTACTTCGCACGGCGTGACAGACTTGGCTGTGTTGACACATGAACATCTCTCTCACGAGCTAGCGATGACGGAAATAGCTTCAATCAAACCGCATCTATTTCCATCAATGCCAGATTCAGGGTGACGAAGGCCCACGTACCTTTCGGGTGGCTGCCTTGAGGAGAAAAATATTTTTGGCAACCGTGGTTGAGATTGGCCAGTTCTTATATATCAATTGGAATGGAGCTGCTGAGGTTGATAACTATGCTTTGGTAAGTAGCTGATTCTGATGTGGTTTTCATTCTTTAGCACTAACATGTTCTTGATACGAAGGAACTTCTCCAACCGCCATGCATCATTTTCTCATTGTGCAAAAATATCTGATTTGGAACCGGCGTGCGACCATTTAATACGTCCATTTTATCAAGCCATTGTTCTAGACTAAAGACAGAACAAATTGAATTCACCTGACATTCATGGGATGTATGGCTTTTCATCGCCAATGCTCCTTCATATACCAAAAGAATATCCGACAGCAACGAGGATTTCTTCTTCTATTTTGAGCTGCTGCAATATTGAGTTCAATGGCTCTGGCTCGCTAACGTCTATATATGAGATTGAGGAAAATACTCGGAGGGAAAGGCAATGAGGTCGGTAGAAGAAGGCATGGCCAATGTTGCGTTTCTTAGGACATATCATTGACAGTGGCCGAAACGTATGTCTTCATGGATATCGGGTTAGATTGACCTATACTGAATGGGAATGACATTTTTGACTTGGGAGTAATGTCATCCATCCTATTCAACGTGTGGCTCGGTAAGGACAAAGTTTGATGAGCAAGGCCGAAATTAGTAACATTGGAAACTTTTCATAAAGTTGAATCGTCTAGACGAGAGTTTTGCACCGTTAAAAAAAACATAGAACTTGAGCAATTAAAGGACTTCCTCTGGCGGCGGCTTTTTGACTTCATCAGATTCAAACTTCGAACTCACCATTGACGCAACCCCGGGATATGTCATGGTCAGCTTTGAAGGGTCCTTCCTAGGGTCAATCTGAAACATGATTATAATCACGTCACTTTGTTTGTCCTCCAACACACTGAAGACGGAAGGAATACATCTCTGTGAAATAAGTTGAAACGGAACAACAAGTGATCTTCATGTGGGTACCAAGTAGAAGCCAATATACCCACATTGCTGAACCCTTCGACAAAAACACACATTTCTCTCAGTGATCGCGGCCAAGACCAATCCTCATGTCTTCCCGTCTCATCATGCCTGATGAGAAGATCAAATACAAGAAATCAACATTTGTACGTCTCCGGGTCGATCATCAGCGTGGACAGTGGCGAATTCGTTAGTTTTTGGCCAAATGATAACTGGGAGGGGGCAGAACATAGAACTAACACATAGAACATCTTCGTGTGTGCGGGGACGAAGATCTCCTACCATGGTGGTCGCAAGCTCAAAAACGGACCTTGTCCACTTCAGTTTGAAAGTATCTGCAAGGCTGCCAGACTCCCGAGTTGGGAGTCCCAACTCCCAACTAGTGTCTAGTAAAAGTCATTTCAACGATGCATTGGCACATTAAAGCTTACCATGCTACATACAACCTTGCTAACAGCGCTTAACAATAGTGGATAACTACACACAGGAAAAAAGTGCCATGTAGGGTTACGGAGTACAGAACTAAAGTACCCCACATCATCTCATGCATCAATCGATTACTCAGACCTTTCAACCGAACATCACATCTTGCGATGGACTAGGACTTCCTCGGTGCTCATCCTAGGAAGAAAGGATGACTATGAGTATATAAATGGGGGAGAAGAGAGCGTAGGTGATAAGTGAGGTGGGTGTGTTATGGTTGTGGCAGTCTGGAAGGTGATATTGTATGGGTAGTTACTAGTTAGCAGTGACAAGTGACCAGTGACCAGTGACCAGTGACCAGTAACTTGTGGCAGCTTTAGTAACATCCACTCTTGAAACTTCACCCATGGCTGACGGGGCCCAGAGATTTCTGAAGCATGAACACGAGCAACCAATCATGTCAGATCAGACAGACACAATTTTCCTTCGCTCAAAAGCTTCATTGAAAACGGCCTAGGAGCAATGGATATCATGAAACTCTATTCTATAGTTCCATGCCAAGTAGGTAATATTGGTGTGAATCCAATCGAATAAGCTTGACTGAATTGTTCGACATCAATCAAGTGCGGGGTGATAATAAGGCTAGCACTGTCTGTCGTGGCTGTTCCCACCCAGTCAGTCGGTCATTCAGTCAGTCATTCAGTCAGTCATTCAGTCAGTCGATACTTCATGAGGCCTGCCTCTAGTTCTATTTTGTTCCGTAAAGATTTCGTTTTCGATAAGGTGATGCGATGGGTGGACGATTGATGGTCCGAGCTCAGGGCGGTTAGTTATACTTTGTAGAGGAGACTATAGTGTCATGATGTTATAATATCTGCTGCGTACCGTACCGTACCGTACCGTACTCCTTCCGTACTCCTCCCGTACTCCTCCCGTACTCCTTCCGTATGGGCTACTCCCCACTATCAAGTTAGTCATCAACTAAAAATCCCGATAAATCATAAACTATAACCCAGAAATCCTAAATCATCTTGGGGATTTGTTCATCTTCCGCCGCAACCGTCTCATCAAAAATCAGGCCAGCTAGAATACAACAAAGCATATGGATGTACCTAGTCGTAGACTCATAGGCTCACAGATCATAGGCTCACAGATCATAGGCTCACAGATCATAGACTCATAGCTAGCTGCGAACTCTTTGGAAAGACTGGTGAAAACTGGGGTAAAGCACAGACAACAAGACGATGAAATCTTTGCAGATGATAGATAATAATAATACTCAATCTACTCAATACTCCCAATACTCTCCCCATACATGAACTAGAGGAGTCTAAGGATATCCCAACCCAACCTGGTCCAACCAGTCAGTACCAGGTATAACAGATAAGAAATGATTCATAGAATTACGGAGAACTCAGTATAGTACCATCGTCTCTATGAAGGTATTATTGTTACTCGAATCAAAATCTGACAAGTGGATGGACCGTCTTCAGGGTTCTGAATCATCGTAAAACTTTCACGTCCTTCTTCTTTTTAAGGCTTCTGGGCTGGGAAAATACTCTAGTCGATCCTGACGTGCGATCTCCGCCTTAGTCGTCGCCTTGTTTGTAAGAGTCAACTTTCATGCAAATCTTATTAATAGGGATGCTACCGGTAGGCTTATGATAATTATGATTATGAAAATGGGTAATGGATTTAGTAAATCGCAGACGAATGAAACA